TATATATAAATTTTGTATTTCTTTTTTTATTCTTTTTTTTTTCTTAGGCGTCAGCAGCAGCAGTTAAAGAATTATTACCTTCTTCTCCTTATACTAAGGAAGAAATAAAAAAAGAAATAAAAAAAGAAATAAATAAACTTTTTATGGATATTCCTTCTCTTAAGGAAACATGGGAGGCAAATGACGAATTTTATCTAAGGGAGTAAGAAGGAAGGAAAAAAATATTTTTTTTTTCTTGCTTTTTTCTGTACATTTTTATTCCCTTTATTAATAAATAATACATTTATATTAATAATTAATATTTATTTATTTATTTATTTATTTATTTATTTATTTATTTATTTATTTATTTTCCTTTTTTATTACAGGAGAGCGCTGCATGTCTATGAAGAAGCAGCGAGGGTATTAAAGTTTGCAGATATTTGTAAAAGTAAGTATATTTATATTTATATTTATTATTTATATTTATTATTAATTATTTATTTATATTTATTATTTATTATTTATTATAATATTATATATTATATATATATATTTATATTTATATTCATAGGTGTATCTAAGAAAGAAGAAGTAGATGAGGAAGTTTTACAGGTTTGTTTCTTCTTAATTCCTTTTATGCCTTATCTTGTATAATAATAATAAATAATAATAAATAATAATAAATAATAATAAATAATAATTAATAATAATAAATAATAATAAATAATACTAAATAGTACTAATAATAATTATGTATATAAATATTATTCCTTTTTTTTTATTTTTTTTTTCCTTTTTTTCTTGCAGTCTTTAGGCTCCTTACTAAAAGATTCACATAATTCATTAAATAATAATTATAATTGTTCATCAATTAAATTAAATAATTTTATTTATTTAGCAATTAATTCTTCTGCTTATGGTGCAAGATTAACAGGTGCAGGTAAATAAAGAAAAAAAAAAAATAACTTTTTTTTTTTTCCTTTCTTTTTATTATTTTTCTCTCTTTTTTTTTGTTTCTTTTCTTCTTCTTTCTTATTGGATACTCTTGTTTTATTCTCTTTTTCTTTATTTCTTTTCTTCTCCTCTTTTTATTGTATATCCTTATTACCTGCTCTCTATATATATACTATTGTCTTTTATTATTGTTATATATATGCGCACATAGATATACCGTATAAGTATACCTATTATATTATATTTATTTATTTATATATTTATTTATTTATTTATTTATTTATTTATTTATTTATTTATTTATTTATTAATGCTGCAGGTTGGGGAGGATTTGCATTAGCGTTAATTAAAAAAGGAGAAGAAGAAACATTTGCAGAAAAAGTTCGTAAAAAAAAATAAATTATAATAAATAAACAAATAAATAAATAAATAAATAAATAAATAAATAATAATAAGTATTAATATAGTAAACTAATAATACAAATAATAATTAATTAATATAAATTATTTATTTATTTATTTATTTCTTTTTTCCCTGCAGATATCTCCTTTTTTTTCTTCTTTTCCTGCTAATCTTCCTCGTCTTCTTTTTACTTCTCCTTCTGCTGCCCTTAAAGTATTTAATTATTCAGCAATAAAAGATATTAATTAATTAAATTAATTAATTAATTAATTAAATTAATTAATTAATTAATTAAATTAAATAAATAAGTAAATAAATATGCTCATTTAAACAAACGAATTTGCTGCTCGTTTGCGTTACACCTCTCTGCTCTTTATGGCTAGCTAGCTAGCTATATGGCTAGTTAGCTAGTTATGTGTCTAGCTAGCTAGCTAGGTGGCTAGCTAGCTAGCTACGTGGCTAGCTAGCTATATGACTAGGCGTATGCCGATCCATTCAACCCTCAATCTACTTATTCATCCAGCTAGCTAGCTAGCTAGCTAGCTAGCTAGCTAGCCAGCTAGCTGGGTGTATGTATCTTCATGGCCAACTAGCTATGCAGGTAGCTAAATATGTAAATTAAGCTATCTACCAATCTATGCAGCTAGCTAGCTAGCTAGCCAGCTAGCTAGCTAGCTAGCTAACTGGACTGACAACTAGCTTGCTACGTAGCTGGGTGTCTAGCTAGTTGGCTAGTTGGAGGGAGAGAGGGAGAAAAGGAAGAGAGAAAAAGAAACAAAAGAAGAAATAAATAAATAAATAAACAAAATAAAAAGGAAAAAGGAGTTAAAAAGAATAAATAAACAAAAGAAAAAGGAAGAAAAAAAAAGAAAAAAAGAAGAAAAAAAGAAGAAAAGACTAAAAGTGTTTAGGAAGAAAGTTCGGATAAGAACTGCCCGAGCCTAAGGGTACAGCATTAGCCCCACGAGGCATAACTCGTTGTTGTTGCTGCTGCTGCTGCTGCTGTTGCTGCTGCTGCTGCTGCTGCATGTGGTGATGGGGGGGAGGAGGATGCATCATGTGCAGCTGCTGCTGATAAGGATGAGGAGGCATCATGTGCTGCTGCTGCTGCTGCTGCAATTGCTGCTGCTGCTGCTGATGGTACATATATTGTTGGTGCTG